AGTCATTGCAAGGGACCAGCACATGGCCTGCCCCATGGGAAGTGTTTGGAGTGCAGGCAGTTGGGGAGATGGGCCCACCGGGAGAACACTGGGGCATAGCATGGACAGCTGATCTTCCCCCCCACTCAGTGTAGACTGGTCAGGAACATAGAACTGCAGAGGGTGCAGTTTGCTGAAAAGGCTCAGGCCAGACCAGAGTTTCTGCACAACCCAGGTGTTCTGAATCTCACAAGAGCTGGAAGTACCTATGAAGTCAACCATTAAAACCTGAGCCACACAAAAAGCCTTCCCCAGGGAATCAGCAGCAAAGCAGTGATTTGGCTCAACCATAGGGCTCAAGTGCTGGTCCCCACAGAAAGTTCCCCCATTTTAGAAGTAAGCAAAGGATAACAAAATTCCAGTGCAGAGTTTTTAAGTGGTGGGTACAGCAAATACTCCAACACAGAACTGGAAGAAAAAACAAAATACTCAAGAACAGAAACAAAGTTTGATACTAACTAGTAAAGGTCTCACATACCAAAGAACATCGATAAAACCTAGAAGGACTGGAATTCCCCCAGGCTACCAAGTCAAGGAGGAGGTGGTCTTGGAGGCCTCAGCCATGCCCCTGACACCCACAACCAGCCCAGCAATGACCACTGAGCCACCGCAGGAAGCACCCTGGGCTCTCCAGAGCTGGGGTGGTGGGGGCCAGGGACCTTGGCCATGCCCCCCTGACACCTGCAACCAGCTCAGCAACGACCACTGAGCCACCACAAGAAGCACCCTGGGCTCCTTTGCAGGAATGAAGGGCGTGCCACAGGCCTCAACCACACCCCTCCTCCTTTCTCCTCCTACTTCCCCTCCCCCCTCCCCCAACTGTTCTGCAACATCATAGAATATAAAAAAAAAATAATATTAATGAATAAATAAACTTAAAAAGAAAAGGCAAAGGGCTAATAACTATATTTTGAAAAAGAATAAAGTGGAAGGAATTATTATACCTGATGTTAAGGCTTACTGTATACCTACAGTGATCAAGTGAGTGGGATATTGTAGAAGGATAGGCATATAGTTCAGTGGAATAGACTGGAGGATCCAGAAATAGATCTACCCAAAAAAACCCCAACTGATTCTTGGCAAAGGTGCAGAAGCAATTCAATGGAAGACAGATAGCCTTTTCAGAAAATGGTGCTGGAGCATTGGTCATCCATAAATGAGAATGACCTAAAACTACAAAACTTTTAGAAAAAAACATCAGAACTTAGGGATAGGTAAAGATTCTTATGGTTGACATAAGAGGTATGGTTTATTAAAGGAAAAAATAGTAATTTGGTCTTTATCAAAATTCAAAACTTTTGCTCTGTGAAGATCTTGTTAAGAGAATGAAAAGACAGGGAGAAATATTTGCAAACTGACAGAGCATTTCTATCTAGAATGTAAAAGAATGCACCAATCTCAGCAACAAACAATTTGATTAAATATAAGCAAAAGTCCTGCACAGATATTTTACTGAAGAGTACCCAACAATGGGCACCCACTTGTGTCATCTACTGGACCATTCATGCCTCATATCACTTCCTGGTCACCCTCACCCACATGGTTGCCTTAACTTTTTTCTCCTCATTGCAAATTTTCCCAAACTTATCGGCTGCATTTAGACTTTTTTTCTTTTTCACAAAAACATATAAAGAATTTTAGTGCAGGCACCTACAGGGTTATGACAGCAACTATCAGGACAGCATGTCGTCTTCTTGGCTGAGAGCTCAGGGAGTGTAGGATTGATGTGGAGGAGTCCATCTGACGAGTTGGCTAGGGCATCAGAGAGCCTTCTTTCCTTAAAGTAACTGAGTTTGGGATATAGAACAGGGGCAGTCAGGGAGCATAGAAGGATCAGTTCCACACCAGTAAACAGTTTTGCACTGACTTATTTTTAAGTGATCATCCACTCAGCCTCAACAAACAAAATTTAATAACAACTAAGGCATTGGGCAACTGGATTCATTCAATCCTACCTTCGGTAACTTAACCTCCAAACATTCATCAGCAGGTAGCATACACTTTTGGATCCCAGGAAATTTATTCGTATCTTGTAACCCAGCAAATGCAGTATAGGTACAGTAGTGGAAAGAGCTTATTCATTTCCCTTTGCCCACCAGTTAGGCAAGAACATGTGTTACCAGATCCTGGGAAGTCTTACCACATATTCTAACCTGTCCTGTGTGGCTGCATCTATGTGTCTTCTAAAAGGGCATTGTGACCTTACCAGGCCTATGTTTGGCACCAAATTTGACATATTTGGTTAGAAAAAAAGCAAGCTCTTTCTGGACTGAAACCATCTTTTGATTTATATAGATAGCAAAAGGAGTACAAGTGTGCCACCTCTGTGTCCATTTCCCCACAGGATGGCACCGAAAGAGGCCATGTGACTGAAGCACATATGATGGAACATCCTGTTGCTGAGCAGCCAATGTCATTTTGCAGATAAGTAATTTTATAGCATGCAGTTATACCTTAAACAGAAGAAGTAAAAAGCCTCATTCTTCATCAGAGGAAACTATCTCATGACAGCCTCCAAGGTAGATAGGGAGGTGAGCAGAAAATGGACTTATAGCACCTCCTCACAAAACCTGCCATGCATGCATGTTCTGGGTGGATTATAGAGCTTAGATCCGCTGGTGTTAAGTCCTTGTCTATGTGGCACATATAGAAACATGCAAGTTGGCAGACAGCCATGGTTCAGTCAATACCCTGAAGAAAGGACTATTAGGTTGATAACAAAATGAGGACAGACATGTATAAAATACCTTAAGCTAGAAGACAAAAGACAGTTGAGTTTATTTGCTCTTCAAGGGCAAATACAATAAATGTTCAGAGACATTGTCTTGTTCATCTTTCATTCCTTAGCACTTGACCTAACACAATCAGATTTGCTGAATGAATGGCTGTAAAGACATAACTTGTTTAGAAATAAGGAAGACTTTTATTTCCAAAAATCGGAATGTGAACACTTTGGTCTCTAGCAATAAGTGCCAGGGGATTGTATTTTATGTTAATACTACAAAAGAACAAGTAGAATCAGCTGATTTTCAGAATCACTCATTCAACAGGAACTGTTAGATGCTGAGGATACAGTGGTGATCCATTTATTTATTCTTGTCTCTCATCCTCATACCAACCCTTCTCTATCCTGATCTGTAAGCAGGTAGGGAGGCTACAAACATCACTTCCCAGGCCCCTACTGCCAACTGAGAAAATGAGATCAAAAGGGGGAGCATGGTTAAAGGTTTTAGTGCCTCAATACCTGTAACTACAGTATTATGCTGGTTAATTTTATGTGTCAGCTTGGCTGAGCTATGAGGTGCCCAGATATTTGGTCAAATATTATTCTGTGTCTGAGTGTTTTTATAAAAGATTAACATTTGAATTGTTAGACTGAGTAAGACAGATAGCCCTCCCTAATGTGAGTGGCTCTCATCTGATCAGTTGAAGGTATGAAGAAAACAAATGGCTGACCTTCCATCAAGTAAGGCGTGCTGCTTTGAGCTGGGACATTGGACAGTTGGCCTTCAGACTCAAACTGCAACAATGGCTCTTCTTGGGTCTTGAGCCTGCTGGCTTTCAGACTGGAACTCACATCGTTGGCTCTCTAGCTTGCAATCTGCAGAACTTGGGACTTCTCAGTCCCTATAATCATACAAGCCAATAGTTTACAAGTACACACACACACACACACTCTCTCTCTCTATTGGTTCTGTTTCTCTGGAGAATCCCAACTAGTACATGTTGAGAAAGTTTCAAAATCATGTAGTACATTTTTATCAGTTTAGAAATTCAGTTAACCAAAATAATCATGTTTTATTACTGTAATACAAATAAATTAGTGATCCTGAAGAGGCAGGCAGCAGGAGTGTCTCCAAGAAAAAGAGGAAATTCTCTTCCAAGGAGAAGCCAGACAGCAATGAACCTGAAGAGAATGCTGGCAGCAAGAGCAGCTCCAAGAAAAAGGAAAGGTTCCAAAAACCATTCCAGGAAGATTACAATAGACATTCTCTGGGGAAGGGCATACCTCAAGGTGATTTTTCCCAACCCATGTCCTATACTCCAGTAAAAACAAATTGATATGCACAATAGTGACAACAAAAACAAGTAACTTACATTAGAATTTGTTAGATTTCTGTCCCATCGATTCCTGAAAACCTTGAAGTACAAAGCCTTGGAAACTGGCATAAAAATGGGGACTTGGATAGATCTGTAAAGGACTTTGGATGATGACTCAATTCCTAATAAGCAAAATACATGGAGTAGGACAGAATGTATCACAATGGTGAAACCATTAATTGTGGAAGGTGACCAGAAAACCTTGCTATATCTGAATTCCAGAGTCTTAGACTAGTATTGTAAATATGGAAGAGATTGCTGGTGCCAGAAACCAAGTGAAAAATGTGGATACATGCAATTATGAAAGCATATTTCTATAATAAGAAGTGATATGCTAACAAAAAAGTTTGCAGGAAAGTAGTCATCCTGAAGTACTTTTGCAGAAACAACTCCATTTTAAATAAACATAATAAATACTACTTGTACAATCCTGACTAAAAAAAGTTTTCTCACTTGAATACACAAGACTGAAATTTTGACTATCATGGTTAAAAAAAAAAAAGATGGTCTACAAAGTGTTTAATGAAAAGTAGATAGCCTGCGGAATTAACTTAATGGTTGAAGTTGTCATCATGAATAATCAAGGAGCTGTTACCACACAGGTGACTTGGGGATCAATATATAAGAAGACCAAGACTGTCACACACCAATCATTGAGTTCTGAAACCATTAAGTGATACTCATCTTAAATATCTGGTGCAAATTCACTAACCTGGACAAGTGTGAATTTAGCAGGAATATGTTTTGATGCAGTTTACAATGTGTGTTGGGATGTGAAATGGGGTAAGATGGTGTATACATATAGCATCAGGTAACACTTAGTTAGGCCCAAGAGAACTAAATGGCAAGAACCAAGATGCTCAGCATTAGAAAATTTATCATTTTATTCTGTATTGATAGCTGATTTTCATACCGCCTGAAAGTTATCTCCCTAAAGAGTAGCAAAATTAATGACAGGGAAACATTAAGTAAAGAATAGAATCCATAGATGGCACAAAATCACAGTAACTTAATGATAAAGAAACTGTTTAAGGCATTCACACTAGAATTCCTAGTCTGGTAAAAAATATAGATTCTATCACAGTAACCCCACTCTCACCTCCGCTCTGCTGATCCTATGTACTTGGTAAAAAATGCACTAGATTGACTCAGAATCTAGAACCTCAGAGAACGACACAAGCACAAATGGCCTTGGTGAGAAATTACTCAGAAATCTAGACAATATCATATTTTCAGAGCTATGAAGGTAATCTCACTGCTACATTTAATAAATGTTTATTAGCACCTGTATACAAGGCACAAAGGGTGGAGGATTCACTATAGTCAAAAAGAATGGTCAGAGCAGCAGCCCCCAAATTACAACCATCCACCCAGTAGACATCACAAAGTGCTGGTTGAGGGCAAGTAGTCAGTGTTGAAGCCCATTTAATTCCAACCAGCGAGAACAAACCATTTCAGGTGTTACTTCTTCCAGACAGATCTCTCAAAGCCTCCTATCAAATAAGTTTTTTTCCCAATCACCTTCTACAGAAGAATTTATCTCAGCCAGACTACATTTTCTAACACCTGATGAGTAGAGTAGTAAATAAAGCCCCAGCCCACAACTTCTGAAGCTGATAAGGGTTCCAGGTGGCTTCAGTTCAATGAGAAATGAGCACCAACTTCAGCAAGTATGACAAGGGTCACTGTGATAGAATTCTTTTCCCAACATGGCTTCTCTGATGCTGAACAAGGTATGAAGTTCGGGTGAAGCCTTTCCCACATGCATCACACTGATAGGGTTTCTCACCAGTGTGGATTTTTTGATGTTCAATAAGGCCTGTATTCTGAGTGAAACTTCTCTCACACTCATTACATTTGTAAGATGTGGGAGGCTCAACAGTTTCCCACTGGCTTTCCAACCTATCCAGACTTTCCCAGGCTTCTCCATGCTCAGGTTCCTGAACATTTTTATCACCAGTATGAATTCTCTGATGTCTCAGGAGATGTGAACTCCGCCTAAAGGCTTTGCCGCACATGTTGCACAGGTATGGCTTCTCCCCTGTGTGGATCCTGTGATGTTCAAGGAGGCTGCAGCTCTGGCTGAAGGGGGTCCCGCAGTCATCACACTCATAGGGCTTCTCCCCAGTGTGAGTTCTCTGGTGCTTGATAAGGTCTGAGCTGTGACTGAAGGCCTTGCCACATTCTTCACACTCATATGGCTTCTCACCAGTGTGGACTCTCTGATGAATGACGAGGGCAGAGCTCCCAATGAATGCTTTGCCACACTCCTCACATTCATAGGGTTTCTCTCCAGTGTGGATTCTTCTGTGCTTACTCAGGCCTGAACTCTGAGCAAAACTCTTTCCACATTCATGGCAAATGTGCCGCTTCCTCCCTGTGGCATTTTTCTGCTTTCTTCGTAACCTGCCCTCCTGTTCACCAGCTTCTGCATATGCAGGAATCTGGTCCTCACCCAGGTGGCATGGTATCTGCCCAGGCTCTTGTTCTGGATGTTTCTCAGCTCGAGGTGAGTTTCTAATCTTAGTCTGCATTTCACCACCTGAAACAACAAATGGCAGGTGACGGTCAGTTATGCCCTGCCATGGGAGGAAAGCTCTGGGATAAGTACCAGGGAGGCAAGAATTACATATATACACCAAGAATGAGGACTTAAGTGTAAGAGTAAGTATGGGGATAAAAAAGGTGGGGACAGGAGTGCTGGGGAGGAGGGAGGCCTGAGAATGGGAACGGGGCCATTGAATGAAGGGTACAAACTAGGAATGGAGGGAGTGGAGGGAAGGTGGTGAGGACCGAGGACTGTGCTGGGAATACATGCAGTAGCTCTGAGCTCTAAGAGTAGTAATGCAGTGCTGTACACTTAGGATTAGGTACTAAAAGGGCTGAGCAGAAGGTGCCAATAAATAGGGCAAGTGAAAGGATTTCTGAAGCCTTCTGTAAAAAACAACCAAAGTGAGGACTCAGAAATTGGACACTGATCAATGATATGAGTCATCATCTCTGCTCTTTCCCAGGCAGAGGCAGGGTCCCCAAACAGAACTGGCTTCAGCACTGGCATTTCTGAGTTGGAGCCCCCACTGTGCCACCAATGAGCTATGAGACCTCAGACAAGTCAGGTGATCTTGTTTGTCTCCGCACCCTCATCTCTAAGGTCCGAGTCTGTAGCCAATGTCTAAGGTCACTTCTAACTCACTCTCGATAGCTCCGTGGCCCATTTCCTGAAGAGACCCTTCGGCTTTCCTCCTCAGTCAGAGCTAGAAGCAGGAAGGGAATTAACATTTACTGAGCAATACACTGGCCGGTTAGTTCAATTGGTTAAAGTGCAGCCTTATAACACCAAGGTCACAGGTTCAGATCCTGGTACTGGCCAGCCACCAACTACCATGAGCCAGACGTGCACTGGGGGTTGTATCTATTCATCCCACTTTACATGACTAGAACACACAGGACATAGAAGGAAGCAAGATCAGAAGGGCTATGGAACTAGTCAGTAATAGAGTTTCAAAACTGGTGGTTCTGAATCCAAATATAATGCAGGTCAATGATTTTTAATGACCCAATAGGATCTAATACATAAAGGATGCCAAGAAACCCTAAGAAAAATTAGCACCCATCAGTCTTACCCAGGGAGGCAAGGCTGCCACAGTTCTCCTGCCTTTCATCTCTGAGGAAGGTCACCTGAGATGAATCTTGCTGTGTCCACCCAGGGATGAGGGTCAGGGCCATATCTTCCATTTTCAGCAACCCCTAAAGCAACAGAAGAAGGGGCTGACCAAAGAGATGGAGTAGGGAAGATCTGCGATACAGACCCCCCCCAGCTAGTAATAAAACAGGAAAAGATTCCTAAATAGGCACCTAAATGAGGTTAGATAGTGACAAACAACCTTAGGATAGATGAGAAAATTTAAACACTGTCTACAATTTGGGTGGAGGATCTAGGACGAGATTAGAGGGGAAGTGGTGATGGAGGGACCTAATGAGAAGCCCAACAGTACTGAAGAGTGTTGGGTGCTGGGGGAGAAAAAGGGCCTCCAGCTCACCTGGGACTCTGGAGTGAGCCTAGCAGCTACCACTGAGTCTTCTCTGCAGCTGCCTCCATGGGCAAGCCCAGGAACCTGGAGAACTAAGAAAAAAAGAAGCTCTGGATGAGATCTACCCTGGCATCAGCCTCTCTGCTTTGTGGAATCCAGGTTGAAAAACTGGGTTAGTAAATCCTGCCAAGAAGTTTATACAGAGTATGTTCCATTTCAAAACACCTGATCCCTACCAGCTCTGATCCTAGAGTCTAAGGAGTCCTGGTGTGCTTCTGCAGATACACAAAAACCGTGGGCAGAATCCTTGGTAGGATTCTGTGAAATGAAAGCAACATAAAAACAAAACATGGCTTCCCATTTGATGATCTTTCAGCCTTGAATTTTGCTGCCTGACTAGGATAGAAGAGGTTTTTGGGGTTTTTTTAGTTAAAATGTCTTTAGTGGCTATTAGGGTGTTTTCCATGTTGGTTTTGAAAATCTGAGAGTACTCAGAAATGGGCCCATAAAGAAAAATATGAGATTGTTTAATATAGAACTTTCTCAGATTCAAGAGACGAGTAGAGGGGAACCTCACATTTGCCTATAAGAAGTGAACTTTGCAAGAGTCGGAAACAAGTCGGTTTAGGCCAGGACCTCTGTTGAGAAATACAGACTGCATGTTGGATGGCACGTCCGACTGCTGTACGTCTTGGGAACCTGCCCAAATCTTCATAGCAGATGAGGAACACCCTGGAATGTATAGTAGTTTCCTAGTGGGTGATTTTCACCCTGCGTCCGACTGCTGTACGTCTTGGGAACCTGCCCAAATCTGCATAGCAGATGAGGAACACCCTGGAATGTATAGTAGTTTCCTAGTGGGTGATTTTCACCCTGTTCTAATTAGACCTTACAGGGTTTAGAAGATTCATATTCTTCAATTTGCAGCAGTCCTACTATTTCTAGAATATTCTGGGTGGCTTTACAAATTCTGCTTTATTTTCTTCATAGTATTTACCAATGTCTAAAATTGTATTATTAATTTATTTGCTGTCTTACCTATCGATTGTAAGCTCCGCCAGAGCAAGAATTCTGCCTCACCAATGTCTCTGTCCCCAGAGCCTAAAACACGGGCTATCATAGAGGAGGCCTCCATAAATACATATGAAATGAATGGCGATCACTGTCTTGTTAAACAATCAGTTCTTTCCAGACAACAATTTTAATACAGTCTTATTTACCATGTCCAGGTTTGGTTAGGAAAGCTTTCCACCATCGTCTGAAACTTCCTTTTTAGTCTCAGTCTTAGAGTTGATCAGTGATGGGCATACAAAGTAACTGTCAATGGATCTATCTTTTAGGTGACGCTTAAACAAAATTAGATGAACTCTGTAGAATTCATAGAGCTCAGAAGATAATACTCACCTCTGTCTTGTAAGGCCTGCGATCCCAGAGATTCATGCTTGAGCAGAGCCTTCACTGGCTGGAATTGGCTACTTTGTGACCCACGAGCTGGTGTCAACAGTGCCATCTTGCAACAGAGCAGCTCTTGCCCCTGGTTACCTCCTGGGTCCTAGAAGTCATTCATTTTTATCATTCATCAAACACTTCTATCATGCTTTCTATGTTGTGAGTACTTTCTATTTCCAGCCACTGTTTTTAAGAGCTCTATGAATATTAACTCATTTAATGCAGCTATGAGCTATTACTATCTGGATTTTTGAGATGGGGAAACTGAGGCACAGAGTTTAAGCAGTTTGCCCAAGTCACCTAGCTAATAAGTGGCAACACTAGGATGGGAGCTCAGGCAGAATAACTCCAGAGCCCACGTTCTTACCTTTATTCTAAGCTCCCTCATTACACACATTTGTGCTTTTATGAAAACCCTTTGGAAACTGGTGCTAAATTCTCAAAAAATACTAATATCTTTTCTTATATGAAAAATTAGAATAATAATTGCTAGCTTATGTGCTCTTGGGGACCAGGAAATAAGATCACAGTATGTGACATCAACTAACCCAGGGCCTGGAACATGGAATATCCTTGTTAAATGCAGGCCTCCTGCAGACATTTATAGTTATATTACAATTTTCAAGTTACTTTCTTGTGTGCATCTCAGAATTTCCCACATCCTTTATGAAGAATGAAGCTAAGAGACATGAAATGACTTTTCATTGTTACAAAGCTCAGGTGCAATATATTTAAGTCAAGAACCTGAGTCTCCTGGTCACTGGTTAGGCTCTGGCTTCATATGCTCTAAGGAAACATACACAAGGACACAGTATGAGACTTAGGAAACAGTCTCATAAAGCAGACAAGAAGATGGAGGTAAACACTGATCCTTTTACTACCAGAGATTCATAACCAGTGGTCCGTGGACTTCCTCCCAAGCAGTCCATGAACTTGGATAGGAACAAACTATTCTTATTTATACTTGCCTCTAAGAATAAATTTAGCATTGTCTTAATTATAAATGGAAGCAACAAACCAATAAGCAGTACCCAGGTCTTTGTCACCAATAGAAGCTGCACATGTTTTCACATCACATTACATCCAGGCAAATATATCAGTCATTCATGCTTATCACCACTTTGAAATTTCCAGTTATTAGCCCTATCCCTAGGTCTTATTATTTAGTGCATTAATTAAGAAGCACATATATAACGTTATCACAAATTTGTTTCATACTTTGCTAACTGTATTTCAATATGATTGAGTTCCTTTGTAATCCTTTATATTCTCCTTTACACATTTAAAAATATTATTCTGAGAAGGGGTCCAGGGACTTCACCTTACTGCCAGAAGTTCACAGTACATAAAGAGATTGAGAACTCCTGGATTTTTTTTTTTTTTTTTGGTGACCAGTAAGGGGATTGCAACCCTTGGCTTGGTGTCGCCCGCACAGCGCTCAGCGCACCGGCCAGCCCTATATAGGATCCGAACCCGCGGCGGGAGCACCGCTGCACACCCAGGCGCCGGACTCTCCCCAGTGCGCCACGGGGCCAGCCCGAGAACTCCTGGATCTTAAAGGAATGCCCCTCACTCGGATCTTGAGATTTC